TCCCCACTCTGTCTCTGGTGAAGCCTCTCGCCGCCCCTGAGCTTCTGGCCTGTACCCCAGTTCTGTATGCACAAATAAATAAATCTTTAAAAAAAAAAAAATACAAAAGGGTACATTAAAATATACCACACTTTCTAAAATACTGCAAAATTATAAATCTGATTCCTACAGATAAGATAAATTATACTCACTTAATTGCTTGTGCTCCCGGTCTTTGTACAATCCAAGTACTAAATTCTTCTACTACAATGTCTAACAGCTCACGTTTTTCTTCTCTTAGAACAATAGACATACTTTTCAAGTGTAGAAAAAACTTCATGGCTTCAAACTGAAGTATATTCAGAAAAACAAAATGAATATATACATAAACATAACACAACTCTTATTCATACTTTATCCTTCCCCTACACCAGAAAATAGTTTAAAAACAACACTTTAAATAACTGCCATGTAACACTAAATGGTAGGGGGCAAGTTTTATCAATACTTTGGAAGTTAAATGCAGTATTACAGAACTAGAGAAAAATCACAGAATAAATCAATAGCACATTATTTCTGGAGTCATACCTAACAAACTCAAAGATGTAACACAAGAAAACATCTTACTGTTTTTGGCAAGGTTGGATCAACTGCAGTTTCACTATAGCCAATTGCTTCATAGAGTAATTTTTTTTCTTCAGGTGTCAACATGTCTTCAAGTGTAGCTTGAATTTAGAAAATAAAGTTTGGATCATATAAGATTAAGTCATAATTTAAATGCTTTCAACAAATCATATGTAAATTATTTTATACTACTTTTAAGAAATTACAGTCACTGAACATTTGATAGCAGTGTAAGGATTACTCTCCAAAAATATAAATAGTTAATATAATATTTATCAATATAAATTTCTAGGGTTTTTTTTGCTATTTTTTTTAAAGATTTATTGATGCATACAGAACTGGGTACAAGCCAAGGTGCAGGGGTGGTAAGAGGATTCACCAGAGAAAGAGTGGGGAGCAGAACAGGCAGATCAAGGGAAATACACTGCTGAGGGGAGCAGTGGGCGGGTCAGGAGAGATCTGCGGGACCATGTGGATCACCTCAGGGGTGGGAATAGAACTCATGCTTAAGTAACTTTAGCTTCTTAGTGCTGTGCTTTAACCAGCTGTGCCACCAGTGAGGGCCTCTTGGTATTTTTATTGAGCAAGCACTCAGAAAAAATTAACTGTAATAGACAAAAGCATTGTGCTTGGAAATATACTTAGCATACAAAGCTGGTAGTTATTATTCCTCCTAATTTACAAATGGTAATACTGCTAGGAATTACATCTAAAAGTTACTAATCCTCCAAAACTATAATCATAAGCATCTGATTAAGAAACAAAAAGCTTCCCAAGAGAAATAATGTCAACAGAAATTTACAATACATATATATATATATATATATCCTTTTGGAATTTTCAACTATTATTGTATAGCATGCATTTATTAAATCCTCTGGAGATAAAAGTTCTTTTGGACAAATAAAAATTAAAATTTTATTTTATTTTTGACATATTTACCCCTTTCAATTAAAGAAAATTTTCTGCAATACTTTTTAAATCTGATGATTTGTTTTATTACCATGTCCTGATGATTAACTCTACTACTATAAAAATGGACATACTGGCCCTCCCTGGTGGCGCAGCGGGTTAAAGCACTGCACTGAGAAACTAAAGCCACTTCCACATGAGTTCGATCCCTGCCTGCCCCGGAGGTGACCACATGGCGTGGCAGACCTCTCCTGACCTGCCCGCTGCTC